CGCCTGCCAACTGGGCAATGAAGCCACATGTTAGAATCATGAAAGGGTTTTTCTTTGCCGTAAAGGAATCTGTATGGCTTTGTAGCTCAGTTGTAGAAGTTCCCCAGCTAGTACCTGGGAAGTACGGGCTCAAATCCCGTCGGAGCCTGAATTTTTTTCAGGCCTCTTTTCTGTCAGTTGCTTAAATTGCGGCTCATATTTTCGCTTGGTTTTCAAGAAATTTATTTCATGAAAAAACCATGAGAATGGCGGATTAGTTATAAATTGTCTCCAATATGTAAAAAGCGTAAAAACATGTCGTCAGGTACCTTAGCATTCTCACAACGGGCTTTGCAATGTTGTTTTCAAGAGACTGTTTGAAAAACTCCTTGACATTCTCTTGGTGTTTCTCCTCCCAAGTATCGTTCACAGACTTGGAGAGGCTGGCGAAGAAGCCAGAATTTAAAAGAATGTTGGCAAACGGTTGCTTGTATATTCCTTTCAGAGGAGAAAATGTAAAGAAGATTGATCAGTATGAAGTGCAACAACCAGAATTCTTGACGGATGATAACTTTTAGAGGGATTCAGTTCTCTAACTAAGAATCGATTGTGCAATCAAGAACTGTGTCAATGACTGTGGGTTTGTGGGAAAAGAAAATCTTAACGACTTGCTCGTTAGTCAGCTCAACAGTACCTGTAACGAGTCCATATGAAACGAGAGGCACATTACTTAGCTGGGGTGGCAGCGCAAAGAACACAAAGTCAAAATAGTAGTTTCTTATGAGCCAATATTTATTCTAGTTTGTTTATAACATTGGTAATTTCGAAAAAGATCTAGCGCTGGCATTATAAGGAAATGGTTTGCTTTTCTTATAAAAGATAATCATGAAGTGACTTTTCACTAACCTGATTCACCATTTATCGCCATTTCTCTATATTTCTTGTATTTCACAGCGAATACGGCCGCTTTACAAGCTTTAAAAGGCCTCAGATACCCTGAACGCGCTCCAAGTTTCCAGTTCTCCACGTATCTTTCAAATACTTGATGGTACTGCTCGAAAAGGGTCTTCAGTCTCTCTAACTTGTCCATATTGTCCGGTTTAAAGTGAGAAAAAACACTGTTCAAATTTCCGAACACCTGACAAACAGGTTGCCAGCAAAATAAGTTCGGTCCCAAAAGCCAATCTCCAGAGTAATAATTCATGCCGTACGGATCCCATCCCTGGGCTAACAGAACATCACTAGCCACATGAATGGCTTTACGCTCTCTCAGCTTTAACTTCTTTGTGTCGATTTGCAAAGTGTTGAGTCTCCGACGTAGTTCTAAGGCCTTGTCGGTTCTGCGTTTAATGGCATCCGGACTTGGATCGAAGGGTTGGAAATGCTCTCTGATTAGTTCGGGTGTTACCTCAGCCATCCTGGCAATATGCTCTGGGTGAAGCTGATAGAAAAAGGTTTGTTGTATCTCGGCTAACAATTCTGTGAGTTGGGAGCGCGTGGCCTCAGATGATGATTGACATAAGGACGCGTCTGAAGAAGTTTCTGGAGAAAACAGAAGAATCACATCGTTAGTATATCCAAGAAATGGAATTATTCATGCTGATAAAACTATATAAGCAGCTTCAGTAAACAATAAAGATTATACGGGATGGGATATTGATCAAATGACGCCTTTAAGTGCTACTGTGGTTCTTTCTTTATTCACTCCGAGCTTTCGCCGTTCTACGGCATCATCAGAGAGGACGATAAAATATTTGCGCTATGGTTTTAAACGTTGGAGGTGCCACTGTAAACAATCTTAAATTAATCACTGCTAATTTACAGTGGCATCTCCAACGTTTAAAACCATAGCGCAAATATTTTATCGTCCTCCCTGATGATGTCGTAGAACGGCGAAAGCTCGGAGTGAATAAAGAAAGAACCACAGTAGCACTTAAAGGCTTCATTTGATCAATATCCCACATCATTACGACATGCTACTAAAGGACACGTTCAAGCATTATACGGGATGTTTATATTTCAGAAAGAGGGAAGAATTCTTAACTCCATTTCCAGGGCTCCTCCCGACATAACACTGTCACTCTAGCTTTTACTGCGGATACTATGTTAAAAATAATCAATGGAATCACTAGCCATCCTCGTCCGCGTACATGTACGCCAAGTGTTCATTTGCATCTTTGAGAATATTTAAAGTTTATTACATAAGAAGGTGTCCAAAAAGACTGTCACCTTACCATCGCTGTCATGTACTTTTTGTGGAGGAAATCGAAGAGCGAATGATGCTATGGAAGAAAACAATCATGGTGAAAACACTTTTATTTTTAAATATTCAGGTATATTTTAGAATTTTTAGTATAAAAGAGGATTATCTCAGAGGAACTAAGCCAAAATGCTCTCTGAGCATAGCGATTGCCACGTTACACCCTTCATTTCTATAGTCAGCCCTTATTCATTATCTTTAACATCAATGGTTCACCTGCTTTGCAACAAGTGGTAAATGCATCTGAGTGATAAGTCCGTATAAAAAAACTAAAACTTTGACCTGTGGTCGTTTAAAAAAATCCTTTCCATATACATTCAAAGGGTCTCTCCTTGAAGTGGTCATCCTTTTGGATAACACAAATATTTGATTCTGTCGTAATTCTCCTCTATTAAAAGGCCACCTTGTTGAATTACAACCGAGAAAATTACTGGTCTGCTTATTGCGCGATCATTCCTTGTTCATTACCTTTGATATATCTCGAGTTATTGTAATTTTTAGCAAAGATGTGTAAATTGTCCTGTTAATTTTGTTGCGAGATGACTTTTTGCCCCTTTAAATTATGGTGAACCTCTGTTAATCAGGCAGCTGCAATTGAACGATCATCTGGCTGTTTACTGAGAGTGACTGCTTAATAAAGGTTGAACTGTACCTTTCAAAACAGCGAGTAGGAGAATCGCTGAGCCAAGGAAGCGAAAAAGCTGTATCGTCAACCTCATCTGTAAATTGAAAGAAAATTACGAATTTATTAGAAACGCATCAGCATTGTGGTTAGTGCTATTTATATGTCTTTTACACAAAGTTGCAAAATTATATGAAAATTTCTGAGACTTGTGACAGGATTTGCAATAAAGCGCATCACAATTGATTTAGGATCAATACTAAACGTCGTTCTTTTGACAGTTACTGTCCATCATTTCCCCATGAACCCCATACGTCTCAACTTCAGTCACGTCTAGAATGATTTTAGAAACTGTCCGTTCTTAGTGTAACAATTCGCACTTAAGGAGATAGTTTATTCGGTACTTAAATGCTTAAAAAGGTGACGCAAAAAACTACTTAACCAAAATTATAGTCAATGGCACCCTACCTTGTACTGACCTTTCAATACGAGCGGCTCCAAATGTCCCAAAACATTTCAACTGTAGAATATGCTTTGCCACCAGCCAGATACCATGGAGTCAACTTTATTCTTCTTTCGCCTATTGTGGATTATAAGATTAAGTGAAGTCACAAACCTCGCCCACTCGAGAAAGAATTTCCATAATTGCCATATTTGGTATCTTTTATTCATATGAACAACTGACACCTGCGCGTTACTCAGTGGGAAACCATTTATGTCGATCCTTCCAGGCTCCAAAAGTTCGTTACTTCAATTTCTCAAAATTCATCACGGCTTTGTCAATCAAATTCACAATGATTTTTATAACTTCATTTGAAAAGTGGCGTCGATCAAAAGGAAAATGTTTATGTTTAGTAAGAATATATTCTCACGTTGAGCAGAAGATATTCTGACAACATGTCTACAGCCAGCAAATTTTCATTTCTTTTTCGACTTTATTGTTTGCAGCTTTCATAGAACTTTATGAGGGATGATTTGGCTAGGAAAAAGGCTTCTTGAGAGCATTTTCAGATGACAAAATGCATTCGTGCGTGTGAAATTAAAGACCTTGAACAGTTGGAGAATTCCAATGTCAATCTTTAAGACTCAGATTATTCGCAGGTTGTAATTTGGCGTGTTAATCTTTTTCTCACGCAAACTTTGAAATTTTTTTTTTCTCCCAGTATCATGTTTTGTACTGTCTCAAAATTAACAAAAGAATTATCTCTCTGGAGAATTTAATTCAGCACAGAAAATAGTGCGAACCTTTTTTTGCCAGTGCCTCAAGGCAGGGGTATGTTGGTTTCTTGGCCTTCAGTAAGCTTGGGGGAATAACCGTATGTTTCCAAAAAGTAGAAGATTATCAAAGGTTTTCTGGAATTACTCAGTGACTCTGAACCCCCAAAGATAATGACGAATTAAATTAGTTTAGTCAGAGGCCTTTAATAAATTGAAACGTGACCTAATGAGGCCCTTTAGCTGTTTATTCCCATTCAATCAGAACTGCGCTTTGAACACAATATCCATAGATTAGACTACAAACTTAGTCTTCTAAAACTCTTTACATTCATCGCGATCGGGGTTTTTCTTACAAGCAATATAGGCCCGTATGTGTTCCTCTAAGTACCCTAAGGGATATTCTCCCAGGCGTAACACCTCGTAATGAAAATCTTTCAAGTTGAAATCTCGCCCCAGTCCTCTCTCGGCCATGCCCCTGACACGGGAGATTTCCATTTGACCAAACACATAGCTGGCTACAAATCCTGGTAGGGCTTGTGATCTCAAGATATCTTTTTGTGCTAGGTCTGTATTGTCTTCCCAGGCGTACAGCTTGTACAGATACAGCGCATCAGAAGTTGTCTTGTCGTAATAGTTTAGATCGATGTCAACAATAATGCGAAGGGCGGCTAAAATCTGTTGACAAACGAAAGAAACGCCCCATAAACTTTTTTTTTTTAACGGAATGTAAATAGAATATTTCCCGTCTTAAGATGTTCGAGTTAGTACGCCGGGCCAGATTAAGGGAGTTCTTGACGGAGTAAGAGAGTTCTTGAATAGAGCATGGGAACTTAACGAATGAGCAAAGATATCTCTCTCAAAGATATGTCTGAAACCATGGTAGGGAAATAAGCTGATCTCTTAACCTCAACAAATAGAGCGCATGGACTCATGACATGGCTCGGATTCACCTTCTCAATTCAAAGTTTTCAATATTTCTCAGGAAGACTGACTTCAGAGTCCTCCAAACTTAGAGGCACAACTTTGCTGAATCTTGCTTAGCTCCCTTCATTTATGAACCTCTCTTTCTGGGTTTTCATAATTACCTGGTAGTAGATCATGCCGTACTTCTGTAGCAACACCTCCTTGTCTGAAGTATCTGAATAAAGATTGGAGTCTTGAGGCAGCAGCTCGTACTCAATGTAAGTTGTCCACCCTTCGGTGAATCCTGGGAAGTAGTTGAAGGCTCCCAGCCAATGAATGGCATCTTCGCAGCTGTCTTCAAAATACTCGACATAGCTCTGAACCTATCGATTTTAGGTAGTTGAGATCAATGTTGATATCAGTCATCTCTTTCCTCTTCAAACAGATGTTTTGTTTTATCTCAATTTTGAAAAAAAAAAAAAAAAAAGCATGCAAATAAAATTTAGACAAGAAACAAATGTAGTTTACTATGAAAACGGCGCCTAGATTTCACCATTACCAGCGCCTGAGTACACTCAGGTATGCGTCTAGTCAAAAACATTTTACCTGGACAGAATAATTTGGCATGTCGTGTATCTTATCTTTCTAAAAGAGAAAAGGTAGAGACTTTGTTGAAAGATTTACTCAAATCACCAACTGAACTTCACCAACCTCCAGTTGGTGTCCAGGAAGTTGTTCGTGAGCTGTTGTGGTATATTCCGTCCATTTTGGACCAAACTTGTCCATGAAAAATGGCAGATATTGTGTGCTCTTTGATGTGCAATCCTTGGATCCGACCCCGTAGGCATGATAGCTGACAAAAGGATGGAAATCTGCTGTGACCTCCAAGGAACAGGCAGGGACGGTTTTCTTACGACCACTACTATAAAAGAGTGTGTCAATGACTGGCTTTACTTTTGTTTTCATGACCTACAATAGCAATGATTATTACAAGGTGAAAGTAAAGAACTGTTCTGTTAAAGTATTAGTGTATCCAGTCAAACAAAATGTGAATTTGATTTTATCGCGTCTTGTCTCTTTAAATGAAACAGGTGACTCAGACTCGGAGAGAGCCAACGTACCTTTCATTTTAATGGTTAATAAATAAGAATAAATAATTATTGACACCTGACGCATTTAGCGACTTTTGGAGGAAAGTCTTCAGTTCCTAAATAACGTGCAAATTATATTTTCGAGTTAAATTAAGTAGTGTGTGCACCAGAAATTGCACGGTTCAAATATCATCTTCCACAGGACCCCTGACCTTTCAGTATCATGTTTACAAAATTTTCGCAGGCGTACAAAAATGAAAATTTCTTGGTTAATAGACACGTCTTAAGCCGTCAAATGGTAAATAAACAGTTGCTTTACGCACTCTGTTAGTATTTTTAATTCACGATTGCAAGGCTTTCCATCTCTCGGGGCAATGAACCTGCGCACTCGCCGTGTCGTGGCACATAACGAAGGCGTCCTCACCACTCTCGCTGCTAGGAAACGGCTGGTTGTTGAACCACTGATCACGATTCCGCAACACTTTTTTTAACTTGTTGATAGCGGTATTCTTATTCTGTTCCTTGGTGTACAACTTCGCAAGAATGACAACCTGCAGAAAGAACGAAAATAGCCGCAATCAGTCAGGTACGGAGTCATTAATTACTGAGACAAGTAATTATCATTGGCCGTTTAGTAAGTGCTGTCAATGTATAAAATCTGATATATGAATGTGTCCGTTTAACATTGTTGATCAATCTGGTTTTCAATCCATCGGTCTGCCAGTATGAAATTTTAAACTGTCAATCTGTCATTTTGTCAGCCACGGAGTCGTTTTGTTAGTATGTCGGTCTGATGGTTTGTCTGTCTGTGAATTCTCGAGTTTGTCTATCTGACATTCTGTCAGTCTTTGAGTTCGACAGTCTGTTGACCATTTACAAGTTTGTCGATCTGTCGGTCAGTCAAGTAGTCAGTCCTTCGGTCTGTTGGTCTGCCCTCCTATTATTTTGTCATTTTGCTTAGTGTATCAATCCATCATTTTGTCAACCCGTAAGACTGTCAGTCTTTCATTCTTTCAGTCTATGACTTTTACGGGCTATCGGTCTGTCATTCTTACAGTTTGTCACTTTGTCAGGCTTTTAGTCATCTGTGTGTCAATCAGCCAGTCTGTCCGTCAGCTTGTCTGTTCAGATATGTCCCACTCCTCTCTCCCCTTCCGCCCCGTTTCCTTCATACCTTTCTATACAGCTCGGATAGCCTCCCTACAGCTTTAGTCCTGAGCTGCGCCGGAGAAACGTCCATTGTAGTAAAGAACCTCATGAGCCTCTGATACGTCCTGGCTCCGCTGAGTCTCTGCCCGTTGGGAAGTTTTTGAAGAGTCTCTTTCTTTATGAAGTAACGGAGTGGAAGTTTACCCAAGCCACTCAACACTTCCTCTTGATTGGGGCAGTTACATAAGTATTCATTCTCAAGGTAACTATCGCGAAATTAGAAACACAGCGAAATGTGTCTATTTAACATCGTTGATCACAAGTGGATGAAATATACCATATTTTAGCCCCGGGAGGGAATTTCATGCGAGTCTTTTAAAGACAAAACTGAAAAGGTAACTTGGTACAATAGCCAATCAGGACAAGGGAAATTATACCAAGGAGCTAATGGCGACGACTGAACAACCGAACTGCCCGAAAGACGAGAAAAACACGAGTAACCAAGTCGCGATTAATTTCAGCTTTGCAATAGATGGATTGAGACATGTGCTCTGAATGAGGAGAATAGAAAGAGTATAGAGCAGAGCGCAGCAGCATAACAGAACAAATTAAAGTTTTCAAGGAAGTTGTGTGCATGGCCTAGGGCCGGAAGATCCGTATATAGTTCCTTAACCTTTACCTTATCATACGAGTAACAGGTATTCCGATGTTCTGCAGTATAGACTGCTTGAAGTATTCCTCTACAGTGTTCTGGTACTTTGCCGTCCAAGTATCCTTCATGGCCTTTGTGAGACTTTCGAAGAATTCTGGTTTCAGAAGAGTCTTTGCAAACTCCTGATCATAAATTCCTTGTGCGGGAGAAAAAGGAAACCATTAAGTGATATTTTTGCTGTTTACTCAACGCAGCGGACTTCTTTTGCGAAATTTACACCAATTCCCCGAAGAGAATTCCTGAGCAGTAATATAAACTAAAGCGTTTAGTTAGATCTACTGACTGAGGGCATATGAAAAAAGGAAGCATTTTTATTATCATCATTTTAGAAGGGTACTTTTTTACCTATAAATGTAAAATATAAAATGGACAGTGCCAGTCTGACTCAAAGGGTAGTCACGACTTATCTTCTAAACTAGAATTAGTAATCGGGCGCAGCATTATTTGTTTCAGTGGTTTCGGTGATACAAAGTAGTGAGCCGATACAAACCTTGCTCTGTTTCCATTCCTTTATATTTTTGGTTCTTGAGAACATGTACACCCACTTTACATGCTTTGTAGGTTCTTACATATCCTGTGCGGACTCCAAGTTTCCAATTCTCCACGTACCTGTCAAATATTAGACTGTATTTTTCGATAAGTCCCTTCAATGTTTCTAAATCGGCCACATTTTTTGGTTTGAAATGAGGCAAAACGCCATTTAGGTTTGGAAACACGCTACAAACAGGCTCCCAGCAGAGCAGGTTTGGTCCTGAAAGCCATTCCCCAGCGTAGTAGTCCTGGTTGTATGGATTCCAGCCGTAGTTATTCAACAAAATGGCACTGGCCATATGAACAGCCTTACGCTCTCTCAGCTTCAACAACTTTTTATTGATTTTTAAAGCCTTTAGCTCTCGATATAACTTCATGGCTTCATCAGTTCTTCCCTTGATAGCATTTGGGCTGGGATCGTAAGGCTGAAAATACTTTCGGATATTTTCGGGTGATTTCGGACTCATCTCGTGAATCGTCTCTGGGTGAAGCTGTTGGAAGTAGACACGTTTCACTTTATCCAGGATGGTGGCAAGACCACTTCGGGTGGACTCCGCTGATGCAAGACACAATGGCTCAACAGAGGAAGTGGCGGTAGTGTCTAAATTCAAACAGGAATATGGCTTTTTTGCGTTTTTCATCAAGCGTTGGTGAGCACAAGCAAGCACAAGCGCGCAAAAAATACCTCTTCCCTCGTGCACTACCGAAAGTCTCAAACACCTTTAAAACATATACACACGCACCTACTGACTTCTGTTTTGTACGCCGTAGAGATATATACATCAGGGCCACAATTTGGGATTCGAGATTCGGGTACTTGAATGAGGGTCTCAACCAATCAGGGAGAATTTAACAGACAACAGATCATCAAAAAAAAAACTTACAAAAAAATAATAAACTTATGCAGAGCCTCGTGACTGGATTTTGAAACAAAATAGTTTTTGATGTGGAACGATTAAGATGGTTCCCTTATCAGAACTTCCTTAACACTGCAACGTGGAGAGTTAAGGGTTTCCTCTAGTGCCCTCGGCTTTAAATGAAAATATTTAAAAACCAAAGTAAACGAAAAAACAACTTATGAATGACTATAAATCCTTTGCTACCTTCACCGATCAGTTTTGTTTCATGAACAATTTATATCAGTCGTTTATTTGATAACTGCAAAAGCACGGCCGAAAAGCAGTGAACGCATGGTGTGTGGGACGGCTCGACTGTCTTTCTAACAAATACCAAATTACCTGTTTCAACTGCGAACAGGAGGATTACTGAACAAAAAAGACAAAGAAGCCACATTTTTTGGAAAGACCTGAAAGAGAGGTGATTCAAGAAGTGAAAGACATGCATACGATCATACGCTATAACCCATGCAAAAACTCATGAATCCATGGATGTTAAGAAAATTATTTGCTAGTTTCAGGTCTTAAAAATAGTCAGTTTGAATCATTAACTTTTCAATAACGTTAAAACGTACTTAAAACGACTAAGAGGATATCAAATAATTTCGTACTGTCGCATAGAAATAAAAAATAGTTTGCAAATTCTCGCTTATGGCTACTTAGATTTCTCCTTATTCCTCGCTTTTTCAGTTTATTTCTATAATTCCTCGTAAAGGGGCCAAACTTTAAAAAAAAAAGGAAAAATTGAGAATAATTACTAAATACATAAAAACCCTTGTAGAAATCTTGTTAGATCTTTTACCAACCGAGATGATGATGTGTTGTGTTCTCTGTTACACGCCCACAAAGCTTGAAAGTTTAACAAACTCAGATGTTTGTAAGCCATATAAGAATATGCTCTGATAAAAGTGACAACTAATTCAGTTTCCCTAAAAAAAAGGTGCCTTAGGCATCTCGTCCAATCACATGTGTCAGTTTATCATGTACCTGTAAGCAGATTCCGAGGGAATCAATTCTTTCAAGTGAGTGACATTCGAGGTTTGGTATACATTTGAAGTATGTAGCTTTGAAAGCCTATTTGCTGAAAAGGTCAACCGGTCAGACCGTAAAAAAAGTGAGAGACATCGTCAAATTTCTAAGATCTCACACAGCTAATATTCTAATCACGAATTTTAAAATCGATCAGCTTGGATATTCCTTACTCAAATCAGGTAACAGCGTCTACCCCGACTGAACCTCGTTTCCGGTATCTGAAAAAATAATCACGAATGGTCTTTTGAAAATTATGATGCTTATCGCTATCCACCACACTATCACCATCGCTGCAGAATAGTGGGTAATACATTCCAACCCATAACTTCTAAGCCAGAAAACAACATATTTTCGCGAATTCCATTCATAATTTTCTAAGTCGTTGCGTGACCCTCGAAAAGGCCTGAGTCCCAAACCTTGGCTGCGACAGCGGTTGCCATCACCAGCGATATGTGATTGGTCTATTCAAATCATGTGACACGAGAATTTGGCGGGGAATACGCACGCCATTTTGTTCCGATTGTCAGCTTGTGTTCGCCACGAGGGAAAATTTGTTTTCACTTCATGCAATGGCTGGGTCGCCAAAGGAAAATGGTACGATTGTAGTGATATTTGAAGGTAATTTTCCGAAAATAAAGGTTTTGATATGATTTTTTTGTGTCTCTTTAAGAACCTTTCGACGATGCTGTTGAAGAAAGGATAATCAATGAGGAATACAAAATTTGGAAAAAGAATACACCGTTTTTGTACGATTTAGTAATGACTCATGCCTTGGAATGGCCTAGCCTTACAGTTCAATGGCTACCTGACGTTACTAAGTAAGTGGATACTGGTAAACGTGCCATGTAAGCTTTTGGACAGAGTGCAATCGAAGAATATGTGTCAAATGAAACTTATTATTTATTTGTAACATCGTGTACATTTAGATTGTACCATCAGTATTGTTGATATCAACTATGCCAGAACGGATCAAACTTTTTTAGGAAAAGAAAAAAAAGAAAAATCTAGTATGCGACAAAAATTCTTTCAGCTCTTTTAACTGGTGAATTTCCTATTTCCGTGAAACTAAACTTGTGAAGTTTTTTTTTTCAACATTTCAAGCACCAAAAGATTTATGCATTCGTTCGTGTAAACTTTGTCGACAGCTGCAGTCGATTCAGTATGCAATTTGGCAGTCTCATTCCAAACAAAACAGTTTTGGGTAGACTTTAAACTAAGAGGCAAATCATTTTATATTCTGGAGAGTCATGCCTGCTTACATACCTTAACTTGTTTGCTAATTGCATGAGACTTAGACTTTTTTTTTAATTTCCGGTCTCATGTCCTGGTTTGTCTCTGTCATGTACAGCTTTTCAAAATGATAAGATACCCTGAGGCCAGTTCAGACATCATGCTTTTGCCATGCCGAACTTAATTGAAATTAGGTTCAATTATAGCATGGCAGAAGCGGGACTCTGACTCAGACGTTGGGTTAATGTCTTGCAAAATTCAGCATTTACTGAAGCACCCTCAGCCCATACTCTGTAAAGGAGAATTACTCTCGTGACTCTCCTGCAGATACGCAGTCCTGCCAAAATACATTGATATAGTTTGGGAATTTTGTTTCACATGACAGGGGTACAATATCTGAGTCACAGTCATGCTAGAGTCATTTGGCATGGCAGAACTTGTTTAACTTAATTGCTTTGCCGAACTTGATTAAAAACTTTTGATTCAGACGCCTTGTTTCTGCCATGCTTTTGTCACAGGTAAGGCTGAATTAAATTCGGTGTGAGAGAAGCATAACGTCTGAACTGGGCCTTAATACTCTCATTGGCCAATAGTAATGAACGGTTAACGAACTGTCCTTGAAGCATTCAAACAGTTTGCCTAATCTTTTGAATGGATGAATAAATGATTTGAAAGGTTTGGTCAGCCGTTCAAACGGATGGGTAAAAATTTCAAACAAATGCGCAAACCGTTTTGAACAGGTGAATAAATAATTTGAACAGTTTGATTAGCCATTCAAACAGTTTGCTTAGCCATTCGAACAGATGAGTAAAAATTTCAAATGGATGGGCAAGCCGTTGTAACTCTCAGAAGTGATTGACATGTTACCTCTCCCTGTAATATTCATACATTATCCATCAACCAGATAATAAAAATACTCAAACCAATCACTTAGAAGTTTTCATCTTGATCTAACACCATATTATTATTACTAATTTACAAGGAAATGTGTAGCAGCTAGAGGGGAGAATTAACAATCAGATCTTGGGAGTTAAAGGATTTAACATGGAGCAAGTTTTGCATTGTTTAATTGCTTAACACCTTTTAATGGTTCTCTTGATTGAAAATGTAAAACTGTCTTTTCAACTGTTTTACTTGCAGGCCAGATGGAAAAGACTACTCAGTACATAGAATCATTCTTGGAACTCACACGTATGTCAAGCTTATTTTTTGTCCTACACATTTTTCCCGGCAAACAAGCGAACAGTTTATCTCAATACTAACTTGATAATCTATAGATCTCATACAGCCTAATTTACTTCCTATGACTTACTATAAGTCCAATTTTTAGGTCTGATGAACAGAATCACTTAGTCATAGCAAGTGTACAAGTCCCTAGTGATGATTCTCAGCTAGACACAAGCCATTATGACAGTGAAAAAGGAGGTGAAGTACCCACTTTACTACTTTCATTTATGAGTATCTTATCGTACAGAAGTTTTGATGAATTAGAGATATTCTTGGCATAATCCTTTGAAGGTTTTGTGTGTATGTATTACTTTCCAGTATATTTCTAGAAAATTTATTTTGTTCAATCACTGTAAGCAAAAACATTTTCAATATTTAGGATAGTTATCCGTTTCTTATTTTGCTGTGTTGTTTTTGATTGAGATGCACCATCCATGCTAGCCTGTTTTCATTTAATTTTACCAATGAAAGCATAAAGCAAGCAAGGAGAGTGATAAACAATTTTTTATCTATATACATGTTCTCCATACAGTTCTTTATACATTTCCTAAGGTGCTGACAAGGAGAATTTGTTCAACAATCAGGAGCTTCTGTTGTTGGTGATCATTTCCTTCATTCTTGTAACCTTAAGCATTAAGGTCATGGAAATAAAAGATATGATCACAAACTCAATAAGCTCTTGATTGTTAGATAAATTATCCTTATAAGTACCACAGGAACAGTGAAGAGAACTTGCATACTGATGTAAGGGCATATAGGGTTAAGCAAAGGAGTTTTCAGGAACTAACCATTGTCTGGAAGTTTGGCTTTCTCTTTCCTGGTGCTTACCACATATCATTTGTCTATGCCATTTTGCTTAAGAGCAGAAACAAGAGCTTAGAAGTTTAAGGGCTTAGAGAGATGTTGAATTATATTTCCTTTTACCATCCATGTCTGTGCTTAAGTTCCCTTCTTGTTTTGCTTCACAGAGTTTGGAGGATTTGGTTCTGTTACTGGTAAAATAGACATTGAAATCAAAATCAACCATGAAGGTGAAGTGAACAGGTAAATAATAAAATGTAGTCACATTTTTTTTGTTTTTTTGTTTAGGGATCCAAATTCAATTTTTCTTAAAGTCACCCTTCAATTGTAAAATGCTCACCTTCCCCCCCCCTCCCCCCTTCCCTCTCTGCACAAAAATATTTAAAGAAAATTACTGGTTCTAATGAAACATGCATTTTACTGAGTTGTTTTCTAACTGATTTCCATACTTTTTTAGAGCGCGGTATATGCCACAAAATCCTTGTATTATAGCAACAAAGACTCCAACAGCAGATGTGCTTGTGTTTGACTACACTAAGCATCCCTCTAAACCAGGTATGAATTCTATTCAAGTTAGGCAAACTTAAGTTGTTTGCTAGTTTTATCAAGAATAATGAGAATTCTTGGGAAATTTAGTTAATTGGTTGTAATTGAAGGTTGGAGACCAGACCTTAAAATAAAAGAAACATGGCTGCCTTGCATAAATATGCTGTACTTCTGGTTCATTGATAAATGGATAATGATTTATTGCTGTCAGGCCTAAGACTAAGTGTGAATTTGAATTTTGTAGCAATACTAAGACATGTAACCATTTTTTTTTTTTTTTTTTTTTGACACTGAGAAAGGTACCGGCTTAGTATCAGGGGATAGGAATGATGCAAAAGTGAAATTAAGAGCCTTTTTTCCACTTTGACACTGGCTTCACTTGTATGTTGAGTGTGTTATTGGTTCTCATCCTTGTGGCAGGATTTTTTGAGGGACATTTCTAGTTCTCTTCCCTTCATGAGGTTCAGCATTCCATGTTCCTACTTAAGCCTTTCACCCTAACATCAGTATGCATATTCTCCATACTGTATTCTTTACATTTCCTAAGGTGCTGATAACGAGAATCTTTTTCAAAATCAAGAGGTTTTTTAGCTGGTGACCATCTCCTTTATTCCTATGGCATTGATGTCTGATTTAAGGGTGATATTGTGAGAAGAAATTAGTGGCTAGTCAATCTAAGGGGTTAAATAGTTCAATTTGAGTTACGCATTTCCCTTACAGATCCAAGTGGAGAGTGCCGTCCAGATATTAGACTCAAAGGTCATACAAAAGAGGGTTACGGCTTGTCTTGGAATCCCAACCTTAACGGCAATCTTTTGAGTGCATCAGATGATTATGTAAGTCTTTGAAAAGGAGTTGCAGTAACCAAAGTCATGTGGTGTGAAAAAAGTTTTTTTTCATTAGAACTCTTTTTGTTGTTTTGTCTATTTATGTCAATTTTTTTTAATCTGCTCAACAGACTGTTTGTCTCTGGGATATCAGCAATATAGCAAAGGTGATTAAAATCTAGATTACCATTAATATACAGTTTTCTTTTATTTGTGTGTCATATGGAGATACATGAAGCTTTCTGAATGACTGGCTGCTTCTCTTACAGCCAGACTTAGTTGTTTTGGGTTATCTCTGAGAATATTTTTATCCTTTTCAGTTATAAAACAATAGTATTTATATTCCAGAAATTCAAGGGTCCTACCCTTCCTCACTCTTTTAAAGTTTGAACTAAGCTTTATGTTGTTTCATGATTTTTAAGCCATGTTTGTTGGGTTAGCTATGGATAGTTTGGAATGCAGAACTCTCTTTAGATTTATTTCTAACCAACTGGATCTCTGTCTACCCAGGAAGCAAAACAAATGGAAGCCCAGCGTATATTTACCGGCCACACAGCAGTTGTGGAGGTACAGTGGAATTACATTACTTAAAAGCAGTAATCTGTATGACTAGCAGTTAAGCAACAACTGAACCTTGCTAATTTTTAGACCTAAAATGGAGCCCTGTCTGTTAACTTTTTGGTGGAGACACTCTGTTCATCACAAAGAACAAGCAATGTAACTTTAAATCTCATGGCAAATAAAGAGATAAAAGCCAACTTAACATTGATTGTTAGTATGAGCATACATGTATATGTTCACACTTTATTTTATTTTAGATCAGTGTGTGTCTATCATTCCATCAAGGGGAATGATGTAAAGCACTGTTCCTAGATAAAATATTCTTCTATTTCCAGAGTTCTAAGTTTAATGTTTTTTTGTGCAGGATGTGTCTTGGCATCTTTTACATGAGAGTTTGTTTGGATCAGTGGCTGATGATCACAAACTTATGATGTGAGTACCCAAGAAAGAGAATTCAGAACAGACAAGATCACCTAATGTTAGATCTGAAACCAGGAAAGAGGTTGCATGTTTAGTATAATATTGGCAGTCATCTGTTGTGATAAGATTTTTACTCATAACACAAAGAGAGCCATCTTTGAGTTAAAAAAAAAAAAAAAAAAAAAAAGGATTTTTTTCAGTGAGAGGCTGTGAAGGAAATTGAGGAAATGAAACCTGAAAAGATTTATGCTTTGATGGGATTCAAATGTGTACCTCCAGTGTATAGTTTACTTCCTAGAAACCAGTAGGGTGCTACAACCAACAGAGCTCTAAAGCCACAAGTTAGGAGGGAGGCAAATTTTTAAGGGTTCTTTGTTCTTGTTAATGAATCTTATCGCAATAAAATTGAATGAAAAATATTGTGACTTTTGGATAAAATTCAAGAAATGATCTTGGCAGATGAGCTGCAGCTGAAGAAGATGCTGGAAAAAAGTGTGACAAAATTCAGGCACTGATGGGATTAAATCACATGCTTCCCTGATACAACCTTTCTTTACTTGAAAATTATCTGCAGGTCGTGATATTCTGTTCTTCCTTTTTATTATGACTAGAGCCATTTTTGAGGTGAAACCCCATATGCTTGCAAAATTCATCTTATTTATGAATAATTCACATTTGTGACTTGCTATTAAATGCTATTTCTTTCTGCAGCTGGGATACTCGCTCAAATAACAGCTCCAAAGCAACACACACAGTGGATGCCCACACGGCCGAAGTGAGTGAAGTGATTGTTGTCCTTCTACACAAAGTTATTAAAAAAATTAAATTTCATTGTCCATTTTTCCCATTCACTCTCTTCTAAAAGTGATTTTGTATTGCTTTTTTTTTAATTTTTTTTTTTATCTCTTTTATAGGTAAATTGTCTGTCATTTAATCCATACAGTGAGTTTATTCTAGCAACAGGATCAGCAGATAAGGTGAAAACATTGTATGTTTTAATTAAAGAAAAAAGAGGTTTATTGCAAATTAACTTAGGATTTGCAGCTGCTTTAAGTTGTCTCTGAAAGGGAAAGAAAAGTGATTCTCTTGGTGCACCCAGAACATCAAAACAGGTGATTCAAAATTGTACAAGTCAAGAGAGGTTGTGAGCCTAATTTTATTGTGAATGGTGCACAACTTACAATCCAGTTGATTTAATCTTCCAATGTGTATGTTTTGCTATCCTCCTGCCAAGATCTTGTGTAATTCTCTCAAAGCCTATGAGGAATTTTTAATTGTTTAAAGCAGTGAAGGCTAAATAATGTCTCCTCTACTTATTTAAATTATGTTGTTCTTTTTTATATATCAGACTGTGGCATTATGGGACTTAAGAAATCTCAAACTAAAACTACATTCCTTCGAGTCACACAAGGATGAAATATTCCAGGTCCAATGGTCACCGCATAATGAAACAATCTTAGCTTCAAGTGGCACGGACAGAAGATTGCATGTCTGGGATCTGAGGTACAATGATCACTGTTATATAGTGTGTGTCACTGTTTCACTGTTATAAGATAATCTAAGTTGAGAGGGCTTTACTTGGATGAATGTTACTGAAGCAGACTGTTAGGTTGCTTGAGATTGAAGATGTCTTGAAAAGGACTCTTTTTGGTGACAGTGAGTTACATTTTTACAACTGCAGTTGAAGTTTTCAATTGAGTCAAGTGCTCAGCTTTGATGGTGACAGTAGGAATGGTGTTGAAATTTTAGTTACTGTTTGGTTTGAAGTTCATTTTGATTTCCCTGTTGTTAACCCTTCAGACCCTTACATCAGTATGCTTATTCTCCATACTGTGCTCTATACATTTCTCAAGGTGCTGATAAGGAGAATTTGTTTGGCAATCAAGAGTTTCTTCAGTTGGCGATCATTTCCTTTATTCTCATGACCTGAATGTGTGATTCTGGGGTGTTATTGTGAGGGGAAATTAGATGCTGATCACTCTAAGAGGTCAAAGGGTTAATTAGATACACAAGTTACTGTTCAGTCGTCAATAGCAGTCCTTTTCAGAACTACATGAAAATTATGCACCTTTAGTGGATTATTGTAATATGAGACTGACTACTCCTCTTGGATTCAAACTATTGATTGTAACCTCAAAAGCTAAGGTTGTCTCGAACTTTGGCTAAAACAAAGACCTTTTTCAACCCTTTGGAGTTGAAATTTTTTTTGACAACAGTGATTAAAATTTCTTATCATATTTCTCTTTCATAGCAAAATTGGTGAGGAACAGTCATCAGAAGATGCTGAAGATGGCCCCCCTGAGCTCCTGGTATGAAGTACTTTTCATCATTATTTGTTGTTGTTGTTTTTATAATCATTGTCAGTTCCACACCTATACCAAAGTTCTGGCAAATGCATGACTAAACAGAACAATGAATTCTCATTGTTTTGGGAAGGTACACTTTGTTATGCTAGTGTTTCCAAGAGTTTATTTCAGTTTTCACCCTCACTGAGATTATTGTGCACACTTCCTCACTTATCTTCTTTTGAAATGTTTTAGTTCATTCATGGTGGTCACACAGCCAAAATTTCAGACTTCTCTTGGAATGCAAATGAACCTTGGGTTCTCTGCAGTGTCTCCGAGGACAACATTATGCAAGTGTGGCAGATGGTAGGTGAAACACAAAGCTGCTTATACATTTTCACAACATTAACCCTTTAACTCCCAAGATCTCATTAGTAATTCTCCTTATTGTCTGCCAAATGATTCTCATAATGTTAATTTTGAGAATTTGGTATCGGATCAATTAGTAAGCCCATAATTGATATTTTTCTTCATGACTTGTCTGCATGATATTAGGCTGATTTAGCAAGACAACGGGAACCTCACTTGACGACAGCGCACGCAGTGTAAATACCCAAATATGGTAAAATTAGAACAGAATCCAGACTATTCCGCTCGCTCTCCCGTTGTCATCTGACGTTCCCGTCCTGTTGCTAAATCAGCCTATTGTATAGGTATAGTAAGGAGAAATTCTGTCTTGGTCACTCAGGAGTTAAAGGGTTAATATCAATAATTAAGTACATTTGGTGGAAATGGCATTCAACTGAGCAAATAAGGTACATTTAATAAACTGATAAAATGTGAGAAGGTTACCTGAGACCAACCCTGGTACCAGTTCTCAGAAGGGTGGATATTGCTATCCAGCAGGTAAATGGTTATCCAGCGTTTGAGTTTTAGCAAAATTTGCTATGCTATCCACAGGTCACAGATTTTTCCCAGTGGAAAGCATTATCCACTCTTTGAACAACCAGACCTCAATGACTACACTAGGTTCTGTGTAAACTGTTGATGGTCCTCTTGAGGGGTGGGTGTGGTCTTGGTGGCAGATTTTTTTTAACAAACTTATTTAGCATTCCATGTGTACAGTTGACTTTTGAACCATGTCAAGTCATCTGAGTGGGCGGAATGCAAAATAGAAATGGCAAGATCTCGTAATTACCTTAAAACTGACTGGTTACATATGTTGTTTTAAGACCATTTCTTGTCAGATATTGATATCACTGCACATGAGAACTCACTTTTACACACAAAAAGAAAGTTTTCTAAGACAACTGTCAAAGTTTGACAGTTGTCTTAGGTTGAATGTTTCACGTGAAGATAGTGACTTTCCTGTATTTACAGTTTTCACCCAGCCTGTTAAGTTGAATCCTGTGACCTATGAGAGTGAGAAGACAGGTTGCATGAAAATTTGCTCAGTTTACGAAATACCAGTTTCTCATCGGCCATATACCTGAAATAAGTTGACATCTTTTTTTTTTTTTTTTTTCAATTGATCTCAATGTTTTTTTTTCTTTGTTTCAGGCTGAAAACATTTATAATGATGAGGATCCTGACACTCCAGCCTCTGAGCTTGAGTCAGGTGCATCATGAAAGTTCTTGAGAAAATAGCCTATCAGTTAAAATATCATCTGTGAAAATCCTTTTAGCCTTGTACTGTTAAACTATCCTTATCAGAAGCAAAGTTTCTCAAAATAGTCTTGTAGAGGAGGCCTTTACTACCCTAATTAGCGAACCCAGTTCTTTCTTCATTTAGGAAACACTTAGGCGGTGAGATCTAGTGAGGTTGTTTACACTGTAAATTTCTTCTCTTTCAACAACCTCCACATCAACGGTGAGAATAATCTGAGTCATGTTAGTAAAATTACAATCACTTTTATGGAAAACGGCGTCTTATGGACTGAAGCTACATGGTTTTTTGACAGGGGAAGCTCTACGGCAAAGGAGTCGCTAATACCACACGCAGGCTGTTTACAGTTGGTGTTATAGCTATCGGAAAAATTCGGAGTTTAGATCAGAATCTTTCTGTGATGTTAGCGCGCTCTGCTGCTAGGTTGTTCCTAGTCAATTCATACTGTACAAACGACATTTCCTGATGTTAAGGGAAAGGCTGCACACCTTCCTTGTGGTAAAACTTGGATTTTTCTGTTAAAGAAACCCTAGATGAGCTGTCACTGTTCTTACCAATCAGTAAGAGTGTTAAACTGTTCTATTGAAGAAACTAAAGAGGTTTTGTTCGTTTATCTCTGAAACAGAAGCGTGGGTGTACTTTTCAAATGCTCGCAAGTTGACTTTTACTTTATAGGATGCATTTACAACTGCAATTAAAAGTTTACCATCACAAACTACATGTGACATCTTCAGTGATAAACAAACTAGCTTATTACTACTTATAATCGATACAAGTTCAACTGAAAATTGAGATAAGAAGTATTCTTACGTTTGTGAAACAAACGTTCATATAACCAGTTATCTGGGCTCAGTTGAACACGTTTAGAGCGCTTCTCCATTGAGTGTCATAAAAACAAAACCAAAGTACTGTGTTCAAGTATTTACAAAGGGCGATCAGAGAGAACGAAGATATCCTGAAGAGTTCACGAGAACTCAAGGTTAAAACAAGCAATCCAAGTCATGATTGGTGTTAAGTAGAGAGTCCCGTGAGCCTCCTGTATAGACTGTTGTTTTTAATTTTTATTATTATTATTATTATTATTATTATTATTATTATTATTATTATTATTATTATTATTATTGTTATTACTATAGTAATTTTCTGGGCCAATCACAGAGCAAAGTAAAGCAAAAGCAAGGCAATCTCGGATTACTTTCGACACTCAGTTGAAAATTGCCCTAAAAACTGATGATGTTATGGCACCAATTAGCAGAGGGAAACGCAATCCGAACGTGTTCACCCCATTCACACAGAGCTTGTCGTCATTGTCGTTCATAAAAGTTATCCTGCCCTCTACGCCTGTCATAATGGGCGATTTTGCCTTGAAATAGTTTGCAATCACTCTGTCGACGGTATTGTTACCAACTTGATGAGAAAGTTTCTTCTCGTCAATGGCAGTCAGACCCGCTCCACCTCGGACAATGTAGGACGAGAGGATCACTTTGTAAACAGTGGACAGGACTACTGGTTGATAAGAAGGGAATCTACAGGAAGCACAGCGGACCTGGATTTCTACGACTCGGCTACCTTCAGGCTTTCTCATGTCGTACTTTACTCTGAGTCCTAGAAAGCAGTGAGAAAAAGTTTATTGAACTCCTTTCTGGAGCATGCACACCGTAGGCAATGTTATTTAGCAGTCAAAATTCATCGCCTTCATTTAACTATGTTCTACTCGCCCATCGACGAGTTCTTGCAAACCAAAACCTGATCAAACACAATGCCTAATCAGAATAGAAGAGCCAAATAATATCAAACAATGAGAAGCGCGGGAAAACGCGGGTGTCCAAGTTGCGGCTGCTTTAAGTTTTGTATCTGATTTGTTGAAAGGGCAGCACGAGTTCTCTGGACCAATCGGAGGGCGAAGCAAAGCATAATCGATGCAATTCCTGGCTTTCGATTAAAATTAACCCAAATGATGTTTAAACTTTTAGAAAAAAGCACACAATTACCTGAGACTTGTAGAAATGAATTGCTGGGGTCGTTTTTATCGTACAATGTAGCTACTTGTTCGAAGACCAGCGTAAGATCCTCGCCCGTGAGTTCCACAATATCGACAGTATTTCTATACGGGAAGCTGTTCACAACGTAACCGTAAGTGACAGCTTCTGTGTAGGAGAAATATAAGCGGGAAAAAAAATTAGTTGAAAAATCTCTATGCATGAAATTAACCGAACTCGTGTCAGTTTGTGAATACCGAAAGTATCTGGCTGTAAATAATACGATTTTATTTTTAATTTCCTTTCCTTACATTCCTCGTAGTTTTCTTCTCTCGAAATTATTCCCCTTCGAAATATTTAAGAAAATTACCCCGCCCAGAAAAGACAATTTTGTTGAATACAGCAACAAGGCTTGTTAGACATATATTTTGAGAAAGGTAACTTTGATTAGATCCTAAACCGGTTCTGCGAAGAAAACGTTTCTTCAACTTAAAATTTGCTCCGTCGGGTAGATACTCTCTTATTTTGTGACGCAATTACGAGCATGGAATGACAACCACCTCTCCCCCTTTCTCTTAATAAACATACTCTTACTCAGCCTCGTTCCAAGGGTCCTCTCTCGAGAAAGTATTTTCTCGCCAAAAGAAGAGAGAGGACCCTGGGAACGAGGTCAGGTTGACTTTTACCTTGAGCACTGACGAACATTGATGCTGTAATGCTGCCACTATTCTGAATTGCAATACTCGCTTCAGTCCACTGAGTTTCACTGGCAGTCAGGTTAGCGTTGTGGAAAACAAAGGCATCCGTAAAAAGGTTACCCAAATTGCATTCTTTCAACAGACAGTCTGGTTTTTCAGCGTTGAGGAAGACGAAACTCGTGCCCACTTTAAACTAAATTGTAAAAACAGTTTTTTCTTTTTTTTTTTTGCGTTATCTCGTATTTATGTAAAATGAAGAGCTTACGTGGCCTGTTCAAAAAAGTCCTCATGAAGTGATTTTTTTAGTCCAAGCAGACTGCAAGAAACGTGTCACACATGAACTTGGTAATGGCCTAACTCACTGAAAATTTCCCTGTAGCTCATTAATGGAGGACCGTAGGCGAGCGGAATCCAGAGGTTTAAGTATCGACTCCTAATAGGGTTTTAAAAAGTTTTTCTTTGTCTCGCGTTCGTGATAAGATGAGAAATCATCTCACCTCATTTTGAGTCGTTACGTTTTTCAGTGTTTAATTTTTTTAAGTATTTTTTTATCCGTCTTTATTTCTTTTTCTTTTTTTTTAATCCAGACAGATTCCAGGTTTGTACAGCGAATTGAAATCCAAGCTTTAAACCTGGCAGCTCCCTCTGATACTGACTTATGAAGCTCATAAACAAGAATTGATACTCACGTCAACAAGTTCGGTCACTTTAGCCTTCATCTCTTGAACTTCTCGCTCTATTGTTGGATCCTTCGCTACCGAATTGTCCAGTATTATGGGATTCCCATTCCAGGAAGTAAGTTTACCATCACCATCAAACTCGACGTTTAAACGTCCTAGACATTTACCGTACTTATAATCTTGAACAACCAGCACTTTACCATCAGGATCACTGTCTGGCGTAATCACTAGAGGATACGGGCCGTAGGGCTTTTGCGTGGAGGGTGGGGTACCTAAAATGTTGCATGGTAGGAAGAAATCGAACAGATTCATGCGAGAAGTTCAGGAACCAGTCTTTATTTACCGCCTCGGAGGGGGAGGGGTGGAGGATTTTGAGGGAGAACATAGTTTTCAGGGTGAACAAAGGGGGCATCAGTCGCCGCCGACAGAGTATATAAAGCCGAGGAGACGATAGAAAATTGAGTGCCACTGAATTGACTGTCAGTGAGGGTATCAGAAGAATACTACAGAGCCTTACAAGAGGTATGAAAAATTTCATACCTCCCCCCCCTCCTCATCTCCACCTGGAATGGAATTGAGCCATTGGATGTAGCGGAAATATATGAAGCTGGAAATTAGTTATACCACGATGCTTGCTGCCCTTTCGCGGCAGCGTCGAAATTCGATGTCTACCAAAATGGAAGATACAATTGAATAGAATTCCTAGAGCGATAACACTTATTTCTTGGCGAGATCTTAGTAATAAATATCACATAACTTACAGAACAAAGGAAATCTATAATTCTAAATGTTTGGTTCTAATACGACTATTACCTGTGTAAAGGAAGGTGTTAGTATGTCCACCCACCACTATGTCGACTCCATCCACTTCTTTAGCAATTTTCTTGTCCATATCAATACCAGAGTGGCCCACAGCAATGATCTTATTGATGTTCTGCTTTTTTAGCTCCTGCACAGCACTCTTGAGTGATTCTACCTCGGGTAGAAATTTCACGTTTGGTCCTGGACCAGGTTTGGAAACCCTTTCATAGACAAATGTAAAAAATATATCTTAGGAAAAATGTCAATAAAGGTGTTTCCTTAGTTCGTGTGTTTTTTCTTAATATGATGGATAGTGCATGAGTATTAACCATGTATGTATAAAACATGAACAAATTTGAGAATGCATAAAACAACATTCTTCTTCCCCCTGAAGCAACTAGTCTTCTGCTTCTTATCGTTAGCGTAGCAACCTTAATTAGCCACTGCGTTACGCTACATTCCAACTACGATATTCCAACGAATGATAGGAGACTGTTGTGTTCTTTTTCCTAATTTCACGTGCAGTTAGCTTCTCAGTCAATAATAAGTCAAAGCTGTGACATTACCATTCTGCAAGAAGATCACGTTCGCAACAAAAGGGCTCTGAATCTTTGCTCTGCTTAATTATATTATTTATTTACTCATTTGCGTATTCATTTATTTGCCTGGTTTACTACTTCCTGGCTTTGGTCTTTCAAAATATCTGAGCTTATGCTCATTTCGTACATTAAACGATACAAGTCCTGTAGATTGACTGCAAACCATCTCGCGGCTACAAATTTTGTGTATGAGATAGCCTGTGTGCAATCATTATTATCGTTGAAAGACGCGCGTTTTTCCGACCCCGGGAAGATTTTAGACGAGTCGGGCAGAGGTTTGCTAAGGGTCTGGCACTAATAATAAATGCTAGTACCTTACCAGACCTCTCGCCGACTCGTGTTACTCTTAGCCTCGTACTTTCCCGCGGGCGAAGAAACACTCTTGCCGAAGCGACAATAATAAGGGCCTTCTCGCAGTCACTTGATGATCATGAAACATCATCTCTTGACTCTGAGCGTACTGAGGCCTTCAGGAATTCTCTACTTGTTTTAATATAAAGCAATTGCGCGCGTAATTCCGCCAGCTATGCAAGTTATTAGAACATTTGCTCACTTTGGCGTTTTTTGCAGTACATATCCCACAATTCCAATTTTTTCGCCTCCAACGTCAAAGACCTTTGACCTAACAAAGAGTGGAGGCGACTTAGGCCAGCTCGGCTCCAAGGAGACATTCAAGTTTGAAACCACAACGGAGAAATTCACAGCTTTTAGGAAGGCAACGAGATTGTCAACACCGTCGTCAAATTCGTGATTTCCGAGGGCCTAACAGAAAGGGAAAAGGAGATTAGTTTACGAGCAGCCCTTTTTCCTCTCAGCTTAGTTCGACAAGCGAGCAGGAAATAAAAATTAAGAAGTAGCGCCTTGTTCTTGTTCTGGGTTCGGGACAGGAGTGTTCAAGATCTTGTGCAATCACCAAGAGATTTTAAGTAATACTGGAAGTATCTATAGAATGCTTAGTTCTTTACATGGACTGGAGCAGGTCGATGGTGTATTTTCTTCCATGCTCTTACCAGGACTTCTTCGATTTCCGGTGGTCTGCTCCGTTCAAAAATTTAGAGATTTGGAACGAGAACGAGAACGAGACGCGAGGGAGACAGGGTGTGTTTTGGGAGTCTCTTGGAGTCTCTTATCCTAGCTCCTTTTCTCCATAGGAAACTTTGCATCGCCTGCCCATCGTCAAAAGACTGGCAGTCCGGATTACTAGCAACCGTTGGTAAAGAGTTTCTGAGGGACTGGGGTGGGCTTAAAACTCGAGTTCACTCAGTCTAGTTTTGTTTAAGAAAATCTGTGATTAGCGACCGCTTAATTCATAACCTACAAATTCTGCCTTTTTGGAAAGTATTTGTGAACAAAGGTCCCCGCTAAAATTCTAGCACAGGTGCAAAGGGCACTCACGACAACTTGCGTGAATCGATGTCCTCGATCGATAACAGGCCTTGGCTCACTAATCATGCTATTTAAACCGGTATGAATTAAAGTGGAAAAAAAAACTGTATACCATGGCGTCATATCCAAGTTCATTCATGAATTTCCTTGAAGCATTTCCACGATAGGCTAGATACCACAGCGTTCCCGTAAACACGTCTCCGCCAGAGAGAAGCAGCACGTTTTTCTCCTCCGCTCGAATCTTTTTTATCATAGTGGCTCTCCTCGCCACTCCACCAAAACACTCTCCTGCTTTTGCCAATCTCGGGAAGCAAAGGCCACCGCTGGTGTCTGTTTCTTCGAATCGGCCATGATGGTCGTTCGTGTGCAATACAGTCAACAAGTATCCATGAACCATGGAAAATCCAAATGATATCAGCAGTACAGCGGTGAATGCTTTGAATAGCAAGACAGCCATGCCGAACAGAGCCCGATTTAGAGCCAGTCGTACCTAAAAAATTCAGATATTATTTTGAGAAATTGGAGACGTGTATATACTTTTTAGGTAACGCCAGTACGCGCTTAAAATGGCCCTGTATTTTTGTTACGGTACAAAGGCCTGACGATGATCTCTGAGGAGATAATAAGATTTTGTAATGCGCAGCTGTAAAATAGTAAATTTACATTTGCGAAATATTGAATTAATAAATATCATTATTATTAAGATTCTGTGCATAAGATGGAATTTAAAAAAAATGAAGGTATTTTGTTTTCTGTCACAATACCTTCTCGTTACCAGAATACACAACACTTTCCCGTTTCCTCATGGTTTTTTCCCCTCTATTCATCTTCATGCGGCGGGAAAGTGCGGAGAGTAACTGGCCGTTATTGTCTAGCTATCACCTTAAAAGATGTGTCTGCGATATTTATCGTGTTATTTATTTATGTTGTGCATTGTTAATTGTGTCGTACAGACGTTATGTAATGCTGTTTATATGTTTTTATATGAGAGATCAGGTCATGTAAACAAACCTCAAAACCAAAATTAGTGCGTTCAGCTAAAAATTTCTCACGCTTCGTTGGCTTTTTTTCCTTAATTCACTCACATTTCTAAAAGATGTCCGGTGTTTACAGTTTTAGGAGCTTCACAGTAACGCCTTTGACTTCCAGGATTGTTCAGTATGTAAACTCTCCCTAGCGTTTTAATTCATCGTTAAGTGGATAGGTTTTAAGAACTGCACGAATAACAACATCCAGTCCAGTCCAGTCTAATTTTTGAAAAATAGCAGAATGTTGCACTTTTTCCAAGAACGGTATGAACGGACTTGACATGGAACAGACTTCGCAGCGCCTGTTTTTTCCTTTTTTTTTAAGTGAATCAAAATTAAAGGCTTAGAGAAGAGTTGGCTCATGTACGGTGGTAATTTACAATACTGAAGTACTGTTATTAAAAAGGTGATCTTGTTATTCCTTTTTTTTTTTCGAAGCGAAAACAAACTTAAAAAACACTATAGTCACTGATAATCACCCGTTGCAGTTATACTAAACACTTTTCTCATCGAGCTCATCGATTATAATTGTCAATCAAATTCAGCGACAAGGTAACAAAATAACTTAATGGTTACACAACAAATAAACGCTTTAAAGCCCCAAAGTCCCGCCTCCACTATGCGCCAATTCTAAGGCTTATACCATATTTAGTTATCAGCAGGTGGTTTTATGCCATTGAAAATCATTTGACACCGCAGCTGGAGGAAACTTTGGAAGACTTGTTACACAATCTGTTTAATATAAGAAGTGGTTTAATTATGCCCGCATGAAAATATTATGCACGAAGTTTGAAGAGTCGAGGACTTCCAACAGTGCATTCGAAGTGGCATCTTGATAACGCATCTTGGAGAAGCAAAGTGAGACTTTTATTTTTTATTCACTAAACTAAAAGAAATGCGATCCGATACAACCCATCATCGGTGCGATACTAGTCGTCATGATGCTACACTAATTGTAAGTTACCGAGAACTCTCGCAATGAATAACAAAACGAAGAAGGAAAGATATGTTGGTTTAAGTTAGCAGTGTGTGATGAGCTTCTTAAAGATGATTTTCGTCGATGCTTAAATTCATTTTTCATAAATTGATCCTTGAATCAGTATAAGATACATGTTACAACGAAAATTTATTACAATCATAACATTAAAAAATTTAAATTAGTCAACAACGTACACTGAATGCGCTTAAGTTATTTGCTGTCTTCGTTACAGAAACGCTGCAAGTCCCCAGAAACATCACACTGTCTCAAAGGTAAAATTAAATATATATATATATATATGTATATATATTTTTTTTTTCTTAATCCAACTTTTTCAAGGAAGACCAGCGGATAATGTTCAAAGTTTGATTCTTCGTCTAGCGTTTCCAAAACTAAAGTAGACTGATTCACATTCAGACTGAAATGAATTCTTGATGATCAAAGAAATGTGACATCAGTTATCCTATTTTTGATCTGTATGTTTTTAATTCTCAGTCTAATTTCGTTGATAGCCTTGAAATTAAATTTAAAGCCAAATTAAGCAAATGACTCGCCTTCACAAAGCGCATTTGTTTTTTTCGTTACAAATATGGCCGTACCCATAAAGTTCTTCGTCATTTCAATTCATAAAATGAATTTTAGATTATCATTTTTGGGGCTTGCGCTCCAGACTTAGTTCGATGGATTGCAATTCGAGCCCTGGTCATACATATTTTTGTGCTCTTGGACTAGAAACAGAATCTTTCCGTCCTCTAACCACCCAGGAATACATGATTGAGTACCGGCGTGTTGC